ATATATATATATATATATATATATATATATATATATATATATATATATATATATATATATATGTATATAATCTGACTTTTTTTGCAAAAAATTATTACTTTTCTAAATATTATTCATTATTTAAACAATAAGAGCTTAAATTTTTTTGTTTATAAGTTTTATAGATGTTATAAAATGAAAAATCGCATAAAAATCTCTAAATTGTTTTGTTTATTTTTTTCCATTTTCAGTTTTTTTAGTTAAGTTTTTCTAAACATCTTTTAATTTTATCAACCAGCAAAACGGTTAAAGAAATGAGATTTTTGAATAATTACGTAGCTTAAGCTATTAAAACATCATTTCCACAGTTTTTTTTTATACCAGGTTTTTTAAATTAAAAAATTAGTTACAACCCTCGTACATACTATGACATATTACATACATACATTTTTTATTTTTTGTTTAACCCTATTCTATACAACTATTGTTTGATTTACATTTATAATACTATATTTTTAAATTTAATATAGACTAAATTATTGCAATCTTTATTAAAATGACATAAATGATAAAACCATAAATGATGAAAAAGGATATTGTTTTTAAATAAATTTTTTTCTGAACTTTAAGCTTGCATAATTTAAAGAAAAAATGTTATGAAAAAAATTTTGACATTGCTGTTATTCTCATATATAGAACACCCCTTAATCTTTAGAGTTTATCTTATTTTTGGGGTTGACATATTTAATAAAGTTACAATAGATATTGTTTGTAAATATGTTGTTTACGATTGATTTTTTTTATTTATTAATTTTTTTTTTGTAATTTAGAAGGTGCAACTCAATCAGAATTAAATGATTTTATTCAAGAAATAAATATAATGAAAGAAATTGGATATCATAAGAATATTGTTAATATGGTTGGTTGCTCTAAAATCGATAAATTTTTATGTTTAATTGTTGAACTTATGGAGGAAGGAGATTTGTTGCAATTCTTACGAAATAAACGCACCATAGTAAGATATTGAATATGTATATAGACATGAACACCTTTATATTTTTAAAGTTTATAAAATTTGAATTATTAAATTTAGAAAATTTAAATTTATTAAATTTAAATTATATTTTATTTTAAAAACAAATTTTAAATCAAAACTACTTAAGTTATTATTTCATAAATTAATTTTTCAAATTTTTAAAAGTTTTAGCACTTCAGAAGATAGTATAAATATTTGTTTCTTTTACAAGAAGTAGAAAGCTCTCAAACATCTAATGACCCTACTTGGAAGATAAAAAGCCATATACCCTGTAACAATAAAATTATGATCTATTATCTAAAATGCATGTAATGGTCAATCGACATGAACTAAAAAAGAAACTGTTAAAGAAACTGGAAAAACGGCTAAATAAGTTGCAGAACTGGCCAATCAACTGACCATCAACAACCATGTTTATGATTGCCAAAGAAAAAATAAAACTATGGAACCATTTTTCAAGCTTTTTTTTTTTCTAGAAAATTGAAAAAAATATATTATATTATAAAAATCATTTATACAAATAAAAACATTATACTTTTAACTAACACTTAAATGATGATGATAGGAAGAAACTAACACTTAAATGATGATGATAGGAAGAAACTAACACTTAAATGATGATGAAGAAACTAAAAAAAGTTTTGTCAAAATGAAAAATATTAATCTTAATCCTATTTAAAAAAACATAAGAAGAAAGTTTAAAAGGAGTGGCTAAAAGGTAATGAACACATATACAAATATAAAGTGACAAATGACAATGTACACTAGCATAAATATTTATAAATAGTACTTACACTTACTAACTATATATTTATGTTTAAAAACTAATTTTTATATTAAATTAAATCTTTAATATTTTAGTTTTTAGTTATGTATTGGTAAGCAAAAAAATTAAGTTATAAATGATGCAGCAATAACTAAATGATAAGTTTACAACATTAGGCAACAGTCAACAAAATTTACATTAAATGAACTTCAATTTTTTTTTTTTTAAAAACTCTGTTTTTTTCAGTACAGCAAAATAATGACATTTTTGGAAAAAAATTATACAAAGTTTCTTTTATAAAACAAGATGTCTCAATTTTGGGTACTTTTATCATTTTTTTGGATCATTTTAATCATGCTGGAAGGTGAAGAATTATAAAACTTTCTTATCATGAGATGAAAATTACACCCTAATCAGATGTGATGAATGATTTCAAGTCAACAAGTGAATTTAACTATTTACTACCTTCAAACACTATATATGACAGTTGTCCCTAAATGTTCCCAATAACAATCAAGTCTAGGAACCTAGCTGTAGGACCTAGGACCTAAGTAGCCTTTTTAAAATTTTAACTACATTGTTAAGATAATCCTTTAATATCTTAGCTGTTTGAAATTTAGCATCATCTTTTTAAAAAAAATATTTCACAGCCAATGACATATGCTTCATGTTGTTATGAACCAATGACAGAAACTTCTTATTGTAAAAGTTCTTAAGCAATTAAGAGTCTTTTGCCTAGTCTTAAGTTCTTAAGCAATTAAGAGTCTTTTGCCTAGTCTTTAATTTTTCCATCAACAAATTTCTGATATACAATGAAACCCAATCACACACCAGATTTTTGTTCAAGTAAAACTATTGATTTAGGATCCCCTTTTGTTTCTATCCAAGGAAAGGTCCGGCTCTTTGACTATTTTTTTTAACCGGTCTGATTATTGTGCTCATATTTGATGTCAATAAAAAGTTTCTTTCAAAAAACTTAAATCAAGTATAAAATGCAGGGGTTTCCTCTTGGCAGTTAAATTAAAATATTAGATTCAAGTTTTTAATATCAATATTATATATATCTAAAAAACATTCACTAATCCTTTTGATAATTAGATATATGAATTAATATAAACATAAGTTAAAAATATGTTCAAGATTATTTTTAAAATGGTTTCCTGAATTTATTTAAAAAAATAATGATTTTTAATAATTTTTTTTTTTTTTTTTAACATTTTCCGATAAGGCTGCAAGCAACCACTAATTAGAGTTAGAAGTTGTTGGATGAGAAAAGATGAAGATTGTAGAGCAAGATAACAATTGACAGACAGCTTAAAAGGTTGCAAATTATATGACTCAGGAAAGCAAGATGAAGGAAGCGAATTCCAAATAACTGATATTCGAGGAAACAAACTAGAGGAATAAGAATTTTTGGAGCACTTAGGAACAGTCACAGAAAAAGGATGACACTTAATTGAATGACAAGTAATGCAAAAATGAATTTTAGTAGATGGCACAAGAGACACTAGCTCTTTAGAACAGTTCCCATTATAGTATTTGTAAAAAAGAGAAAGATATTTTTCAGCTGCTACTGATACTCTGATATTTTTCAGCTGTTGATGGAATCAGTCTCTCTGAGAGCTACCACAGATTTCGGAAAACCTGACTATCAGCCAGCCTCAAAACCATAAAACTAAGTTTTAGAGTTGTACCCTCATTAAGAGATAATAGAATGAGTTGCCTAGTCATAAAAACAGAGACACAAGCAAAACCCATGCATCAAGTCAAGAAGATCCAGCATTCAACATCCTAAACAGAAAACAATGTATTAAAAATACATCTGTGCCAGCCCAATAGATGAAGAAGAGGTGCAAGGCTGATCATCATATAGAAGCTAGTTACCTCTTATATAGAATCTGTTTACCCCTTAAAATCAGGAAACCACTGGATTATATTGTACTTTGTGTTATATAAAAAAATTGATTTCCTAATTACTAAGAAAAATACTTTACTGATAAAATACTTTTTACTGATGTAACTACATCTGAAAAAAAACCATATATGTAACTGCATCTGGTTAAAATAATGCATTATTATTTAATAATTTGATAAAATCTTGTAGTTATTTTTAATAAAAAATGAAAAGATGTAACTACATCTGCAAAATCCATGTAGTTGCACAGATGTTGCTATTCTTAGATGATTGAAAAGATATAACTACATCTGTAGTAATGATACTTTTACACAAATGTTATTAGAAATCAATGAAATTTCAGATTTTGTTGGACAGATATTATACCTCAGTGTATTTACAGATGTTGTTGGAGAGATGTTACTAGACATAGCACAAACTGATGTTGTTACCATGACCCTAAAAAATGGTTTGTAAATCAAGAAAATTAACTTTGAATGTTTTTTTTATTCGATTTTTATTATTTTATTTAGTTAAACAAGTTAAACTTTTTTTCTAACATTTTATTTAACATATTAAATTTACTTTATATTTAGGTTTGTAAGAAGAAATTAGAACCAGCTGTTAGTTTTGTTTTTAACTCAGAATATCAAAAAGTTCGTGAGGTTTTTGTTGCAGTATCTATATTTTTATTTGATATTTTGATTTGAAAAACTATTATTTTAAACACTTTTTAAAAGGCAATAAAAAAAACGACGAATGGAATTCCACTTGCTGAAATGGAATCATTAACGTCTAATGATTTGCTTTATTTTGCTTGGCAAGTAGCATCGGGAATGGTAAATATATTTTAATTTTTTTTTTGTTGTTGTTGTGTTGTTTTATTTTGTTTTGTTTTTGTTTTTTGTTTTTAGTTGTTTTTTTCTTACAACTGGTTTTAATCATATTTGTCTCATATTAAGGAATATCTTGCATCTATCAAGCTGATTCATCGAGACCTCGCCGCACGAAATATATTGGTTGGTGCCAATAAAAATCTTAAAATATCTGATTTTGGATTGACTCGTAAAGCTAGTGATGATGCATATACTTGTAAAAAATCTCGCCGTTTACCAGTTAAGTGGATGTCTATTGAAGCAATATTCGACCTAACATTCACTTCGTACAGCGATGTGTAATTTTTTTTTTGTTATTTTTTGTAAAACATTTATGTTACTAATTTTCTTCAACTTTTTTTTTAAATTTAACATTTAATATTAATTTTAATCTTATAGGTGGTCGTACGGTGTTGTTTTATTTGAAATTGTTACGTTAGGTAAGTAAAATAGTTGCAATATGATTTGCTACATTTATTAGTTTTAATGTTTATATAAGTTTTTATTTACTATTAATTTTGACTTTTACAGGAGGAACACCGTATCCTACTATTACCAACAATGAACTTTTAACTCTTTTGAAATCTGGTTACAGAATGGATCGACCAGAAAATTGCTCTATAGAAATGTAATTTAAGTGTTTCACATTTAACTTTTTTTTTTTTTTTGCGTGTTTAAAAGCTTTGCTTTGCAACATTATTATTTATTTTAGTGAATTTTTTTATAAGATGGTTATCAGGTAAAAAAAAAAATAGTGATTTTTGCGAAAAAATTTGTTTTTTAGTTTAATAGCCAACTTTGTGGGAAACTTAATTGGCTTTATAACCATATATAACATGATATGGGTTTAACTTTAAAAAAATGTAAAAAATTTTTTTGTTGATAAGCGTAAAAAAGTTTACTTAATAATGCGCATAGCAACCAAATTTTTTTATAGATATATTATCCTAAGAACTAGGTTTTATATAATTATATTTATTCATAGATATTTCTATATCTACGAATGCAACGTACTAATTATATGCTTAACATTTCTTGAATAAAAAGGTATTTTCGGATCAATGCAAGAAATCTATTGCATTTAGTAAAAATGCTTCTTGCGCTGTTTTTTTTTTTGTTTTTTTTTTGTTTTTTTTTTGTCTTTCTTTTAGTCTTAGTTAATTGATTCGTTTTTTTATTTCATTCATTTTTTCGTTTTTTTATTTCATTTTAGTCTTAGTTACTTATTTCCAAAAAGTACTAGTTTTCTTTTTTTTTTTTTTCTTTTTTTTAGTTATCTTATAAATTGAGTTTTTAAATTTAGATATAACATTATGTTACACTGTTGGAATGAAGATCCATTACAAAGACCAACTTTTACTGAGTTGCGCGTGTCTTTTGATAAAATATTATCTGGAGGTGATTCTTTTGTTAGTTTGAATATCAATGAAAGTAATAGTTATTACAATTTACGCCCTTCGCGCAACATATCGACTGAAGCAGAAGATCACGAAGTTGAAGTATAAATATTCCATAAACTAAAGAGTTCCTTAATTGACGGAATAAGTTTAAAGTTATATGCAAAGACTTTATACAGTGACATTTCGTTAATTTTTTTTTTTTAATTTTAAATACCAATAATACAGTTTTAAAATTTCCATTTACAGGTTTTTATTTTTTTTTTTAAATAAAAAAAAATCTAAACATTTTATATTTTATTATAAATAAATAACACATTTTTATTAAGACTTTTGCTATATAAAAATGTTATATAGAATAATTTTTATAAAATGATCTTTTATTTACAATAACTGTGTGACATTCTGATGATTAACACTTATTGCTAATATTCTTGTATTTAAATGTGCCTTATTTTTGCATAAATATAAGGCATTTTTAACAATATAATGCAACTTATGCATTTGATTTTTTCTAATTATTAATTAAAATGTAACTAATATTTAGAAATTATTTTCTAAATGCCCAAGTTTTAAAGCCCTGTTAAAATGGTCCGTTCGGACGTCCAAATTGGACGTTCATTGAACGTACCAAATAAACAACTTTTTCTCGTCCATTTCGGAATTCTAAAGTACGTCCAAGGATAAAACAGTCCGTTTGGAGGTTTACAGTAGACGCTGTTTGGCGTCAAAATTTTTTCCATTCAACGTTTTATTTTATTTAGCTAATTCTCATACCAGCTCTATTTCTAACAAGTATAAAAAATGGAGTATTGATATAAAATATGGAGTCTTTTTTTTCCCACAAGGCCTAAAATTATTATACGCGTATTTAGGAATTTAACACGTGTGGCATTAGGATAATAATAAGGTTATTGCATAAATAAATAAATCACAGTATTGAAACAAATCATTGCAAAAAAATAAAAAGAATAATATTTTTGACGATATTAATATATAAATACAGTTTAGCGAAAACATTATTTTTTGGCTCGTTTTAATATGTCGCCAATAGCACACTTGATGTTGCTTGCATCATAACTAATTTTGCCACCAACATTAATATCTAAAGAATTAATATTTATCACAAAATAATCTGTAAATCATAGAGTATGTTTTAGAAAACCAAAAATAAACAATTAAATTCAAAAGCAAATTAAATAAACTTTTCTTTTGAATTTGATTTCCAAAAAGTCAACAAGCTAGAAGATATCCACAATAAATTAAGTCAACAAGCTAGAAGATATCCACAATAAAATAAGTCAACAAGCTAGAAGATATCCACAATAAAATAAGTCAACAAGCTAGAAGATATCCACAACAAAAGTTTATATTAAAATACTTGTTATTAGTTTTAGAAAGTCATAAAAAAATCAATTAAAATTAAAAACGGTGGCAAAAATATTTGCAAAAAATGAATAGGAGAAAATGAGCAATGTACTACTGTTTCGCATTCTGATATTTACAGTTAATAAAAATATTTCAGTATTGTATAAGATGCAATAGCTACAAACTCGCATTCAAGGCTCTCTTTAGTAGAAACACATATCTAATTTTAGTGCTCTTCAACAGCATGTTTCACCATCAGTAGGTTAATCAGGCTTCCTGATGAATACTGATGATGAAACATGCAGTTGGAAGGAAATAAAAAGCGGAGGGGCTAAAAATGTTTTGCAAATTTTATAAAACTAATATTAATTTTCAGTTATTCTCAAAAGAAAACCACATGCATCCATTTTCAATAAAGTATAATATCAACTATAAACATATTTCACTAAAATTTAAAATTAAAAGAATATGTTACAATCTAAAAATAATTTAACATTTTCCGAAGTAAAAAATTCAGGAGTCTTTACTTTTTCTGTTTGTAAAATCTTTTGCTATAGCTTTTACATTTATTTCCGCGCTGTTCAATTTATAAAATTGAAGAAGTAGAGGTTGATTCAATCGCTTGTGAGTCGAGGTCGACCGACAATATGACTTAATTATTTTTAGATGAGAGAAAGATCTCTCGGATGGTTCTCAATGGTAACATAAACTTTTTTTTTTTTTTTTTTTAATAATTTATTTTGTCACAATTACATACAATTAACTTTATTTCATGTACACATTTATAAATAAGATAAAAATTAAAATAATGACACGAGCAAGTCGTCGACTACATTCTTATCATCGAGCCCCTTTCATTTGCGACTTTGCAATAAGTTTCACGTGAGCTTAACGTGACATTAAAAATTCATAAATAGAAATAAAGCAAATACTTAGAATTGTACGTAAAAAACAAAACCTTGTACGTAACGATCTGATAGATGAGTATAGAAAAGAAAAACTATTTGTATTGTGATATAATCATTGTTTGTGGTCATCCAAAAGGGATAAGTTCGTTTTAGTTATTATTAATTTGATCTTAAAAAATAGGAGAGTATGTTAACGTCATTTAAGTTAAATAGATGCTGTTTGACAGCTGCTTTAAAGAGATTTGATGACTTCATGTATTTTATTTCTTCTTTAAGAATCGAATTCCATAGCCGCAGTCTTTGAGATATGATAGAGAAGTCAATTATTTTAAGTAAAATCTTCGGAATGTTAAAGTTTTGAAAAAAGTACTTTGTTGGGTATTTGTGATCAATGATGGAAAATTGATTTTCAAAGTATTTTGGTCGTAAATTGTTTTGCGATTGAAACATAAATAATACATTTTGGAGAAAATTCAGTTCATAAACATTTGAGCTCCGATTTCCCTTAATAATGGTTTTGCATGGGTATATACCCATGTTGGCATAGCATACAATTCAACACGCTTACTTTTTTACTATTTTTACTATTTTTACTATATTTACTTATTATTTTTACTATATTTACTTATTACTTTTACTATATTTTACTATATTTACTATTTTTTATAATTCAACACGCTTACTTTTATACAATTCAACACGCTTACTTTTTTTTACATATATTTGTTTTAGTACTGAAGAGTATGCGCTTGCCCAAACGATATTGCAATAGTTAATATAACTGTGACTGAACGAATAATATTTATTTTATAAGCAAGTTTTATTTAGAAGATGTTTTATTATATACTGATGGCGATTGACTTTGAGATTTTATTTTTGATGTGCAAAATATGATTCTTCTAACTAAGATTTTCTTGAAAAATTATTCCCAGGATTTTCATCGAATGGTCTCTTTTTATATTAATGCTGTTGATTGTAAGCTGGGAAAGCTGAAGTGGTAAATCATAAGCTGGGGAAGCTGAAGTGGTAAACCAACAGAGTTAGATGATTTGTGAAATAAAAGATATTTGGTTTTGAGGATGTTTAAGGAAAGTTTATTAGCTTTAAACCACTCGTTTAAGTTTTGCAGCTCGTGATTGACTTTAGAAAATATTGTTTTTATATTTGAGTGAGTAAAAAAAATATTTGCATCATCTGCAAAAAGAGTAAAGTTAAGAATGTTTGAAGTTAAGTAGATATTGTTCACATAGAGTAAAAATAGTAAAGGTCCAAGAATGGAGCGTTGGGAGACACCACAACTAATTGTTTGTAACGGTGTACAAGTTGAGTTGTACGAATTGTTTTTTTGGTCTTTGGAAAAGCTTTTTCGTATTGTTTAAAAAATAAGTGTATAAAAAGATCATAAGCATTATTCGCATCGTTGCACTCAGCTATGAGTTACCAATTGGTTTCATGTATCAAATCGCGAATTTTTTTTATAGAATTGTTGTTTATTTGTCTGACGTAGGTGGTAAAGGAATTATTATCTTCAATGGTTAAGCAATTGGTTATCAGAAAATTTGGAAAATGGTCACTTATATCTGATTTTATGATACCACTTTTAATTTTATAAATCATGTAGTTATTAGTTATAATGTCAATGATTGAAGAAGTTAAAGAAGTTACACGCGTCGGTTTGTTTATTAGTGGTATAACACTGTGCTGAAGAAGTGTATTTACAAAGCATCTGATGTTGGAATCTCAATTTGTATTTAAAAGGTTTATGTTAAAGTCACCTGTTAAAAAAATGTTTTTACTGGTGTCAGGTAATATGCGTTCCAGATGTTTTTGAAATAGTTCGAAATTGCCATTTGGTGGTCTGTATAGAACAGTAATTAAAGTATTTTCAGCTTTTCGATTGATTATTTTAATCGTTAACGACTCGCAATCTGCATTATTTATGGTAAGGTTTTCTATCTTTTAGAAAATAAAAGAATCTAAAACAAAAAGTCCCACACTCCTCCACCGATGCCTTTTTTCCTTGCTTGATAAATTGATTTATAGCCCGATAAATAAAAATTTGAGCTTAAATCATCTCCATTTTGAAACCAGATTTCTGTTAGACATATTACACTAAATTTGTAGTTTAAATTTTCTAACATTACTTTTAAGTTTTCAAAACTTTTATTATACTATAGGCCTAATTAAGACCTAACAACGAAAAAAACGTTAATGAAGAATTAAGAAAGGTAGAAGTTTCACTGACGTTAAAATTCGATTTGAATCGTTAAAAATCGATTGAAAGTTTGTCAAAAATGTTAATGTCAGGATCAATGTCATTTGTTAAAAGTATATTTTCTCTGTGAGACATATTTAAAATGTTTGATATATTGGTTTCCGCCATGTTGAATGTAATTATTTTCTTACAGCCATTCATATGGTTGATCGCATTTTATTTTTTATTTGTTTTAATAATAGGTTTTTTTTTATTTTTAATGAAAGCGTAATTTAGATTAATAATTTTGTCATACCAGACGGAAACATTTTCACTGTTTTGACGTCTTTTTTTGACTTCAGTCAGCAATCTCTTTCAAATTATTACGGTAACAAGGGAAAAAATTTGTTTATATACAGGTTCGTTCTTTTTAATTTGTGCGATTCTTAAAAGATATTGGCTTTATCTTTGTGTCCAGGTAAATTATTTAAAACTGTTCTTAGACGTCGATCCTTTCTCAATCCGGTACGATGAGCTTGCTCGATTTCAACTCCATTTAGTCCTAAGTTATTTGATAAGAATAATTGAACTTTCTCTTCGGTTTTAATCCAAGTTTCTTTTACACTTTCTGGTACTCCATCAACTCACAATTTTTTTTTCGAGATCTATCTTCGATTTTTCTACATTTTTTGTTTCTATTTTCCGCTAGAATGTTTTCTTTTCAAAGCGTTTGTTGTTTTGTTTGTAGACTGTCGCAATTTTTTTATCGAAGAGTT